GAACCATCACCTTTTGAAACCCTAGTGCTCCGAACTTAAGCTCTGTCTGCTACAGGACCCACCAGCCACTCAGCTCAGAGGAGGATGTAGTCGTCTTCTGTAAGGATTACAGCACGGGCTGGTTTACTCTGTCCTGCAGAGCTGCAGTGAGTCAGCCTCAACTGGATGGCAACAGTTTGTTTCACCAGGCACGTTAGCATCATGCTTTTGTTTTTAAGGTAAGTGTGTAAGGGGGGAGGGGAGTGGGGGGGCAGGATGAGGAGAGAGGCTGCATTCATGCTCAACTCCCAAAGAAACCTCCAAGCGAGGCAGCCAGGTAAGATTTTCACAGCAATCCTGTGATGAAAGCCCAGTAAACACCCTCCAGGACTCACAATAATAATACATAATACAACAACAAGGGTTCCTGTGGGAGGGGATAAAGAGGAGCTGATATCAAAGAAGTCAAGAAGGAAAATGTTTTGAAAATGATGGTGGCAGCAAATGTACAATTATGCTTGATCCAATTGAACTATGGGTTGTTATATCTGTAAGAGCTCCCAATAAAATGGAAAAGAAAGAAATGAAAAACCAAATAAATAAAAAAAAAAACCAACCTTCTAGAAGAGAAGGTCCGGCACCGACCAGAATGATAACCTTTCTTGTTTCTTCTTTCCCTTTGAGCGTTTCCAAGACTTCGCAGACCCCAGAAGTGCACGATGGCATCTGCGTCTTCAGTTCCCCAGGTGTCCCACAGCACCTGGCTGCTCCGAAGTCTTTTATTGGCTACAAAGGAAGAACTGTTCATGGTAGAAACACTTGGTTCACAAGGAACTGCGGCTATTCCTAACAACAGGTAGTCTGAGGATAGGGAGCGGTTTTGATGGAAAGCAAAGTCATGGGAAGCTATTAACTGTGTAGCTAGTGACAGCAGACCTTCTGATCAGAGTTTCTGTGTGGCAATATCATTCATCCCATTATGTCATTAATCTTCTCAAGGAGCTGGTTTGGGAAGTAAATGTGATATCTGATAAGAGCCAGCCATGTAATTGACATGTGGGCTGAAACAAAATCCCCAAACAACACATTATAAGATGGGATAATAAAATTGGGAATAATGATGCTACCAGCTCACATTAATCGAGGTGCAAAAGCACTTGGTTCCTGGGAGAAAAGAATGATTTAAATGCAAATTTTTATTATTACTACTAGTTAAATTGTAGTAATAAATTCATGAAAATAAGACACCACTCTAGCCTAATGCATATATAAAATCTAATAAAATATTTATGAGTCACATACCAGTAGTTTTTATCATTTGGCATAAAAATGGTAAACAAGATTAAAGGTTTCCTTAGTCCAAGATGAAACAGATTCCGTACAATTTAGAACCACAGAAAATGATTACAGTGATATCTGGTTTGGAAACTACAGAGACTATTTCATAGGGGAAAAAAGTGGCTCTTTAAAAAGACCTATTTTAGAGTTATCATGTCTTTTTGTTAGATTACGGACAAAGGGAAACTCTTTGGGAGGAGTTTTCTTGACAGTTTATTTTACCTGCCATCTACCAAATTATTCCTTTGTGACTTAGACTCAATACTAAGCCAACACCAAACTCACGGCCATTGAGTTGATTCCAAGCCATAGCAAACCCTCTAGGACAGGGCAGTTTTCAAGACAGACGCTTTACAGCAGTAGAACGCCTCAGCCTTCTCCCAAGACTCAACACTACAAGACGGGAATTTCATAATTTTTTTAATATCAACTACACCCTTGTAGGCTATGTGAAGAGAAGTGCGATGACTATATTATAAGCTTAGAAGGTGGTATTTAAGAGCAGTAGAATCTTGCAGCATGAGCCAGGAACTCTGCGGATGCCCTAACGCTCCGTAGACTTTACTTCTAACGCCTAGTAAATGGAAGTTGAATGGGGGAAAACCTAGTAGAAAACACTACTGTAGGTAAACACCCTCGTGTGATGAAATTGTTAAAAGTGCCTGTGCATTCACGACTCCCAATTTTCACACGAGTTTACATGTTGGCATGCGAGTTTCGCTTGTTTTAAAGAGCTGCTGCAGACATGTGGTCCCCCAGCAGTCTGTCTCTCCGCTTTGGCCCTTATGGCTTGCCTTGTCATTAGTTGATAAAGAGTCGGTTCTAATTCCCGGTGACCCAGGTGTGCAGAGTGGGACTTCTCCATACAGGACCCTTGGAAGCAAATGGCCAGACCTGACTCCTGAGGCTTCTTTGGGTAAATTCAAAGGGTTCACCTTTCAACTCGGCAGCCAGGGTTTACCATATTTCCTCATATGATGCACTCATGGAAATAACTCGCAGACTTATAATGTGCATAGCTAGCACATAGGAGACTAATACATGAGGGGGTTGCCTGATTTGTTAAAAAAATGACAACTGTATAATGCACATATTGTTTTTATTAGAATATGGTAATCATTTGTACTACCCAAAGACTCCTTTGATGAATTTATGCTCAGTGCATAATTACTTTTTGTTTCTCTTTCAAGGCTATAAATCTCTGGAGGATAGAATGTATACCTGATTTAGCTTTCATTCCACCATGGTATCTCAGCCAGTGATTTGTATCTATCTGAAGCTTTGTCAGAAGCCTTGGTGTGTAGGGGGTTATGCATTGCTGCTGACTGTAAGATCAGGGGTTCAAATCCACCAGCCACGCCTCCCGAGAAAGATGAGGCAGTCTGTTCCAGTAAAGATGCACGGTCCTGGACACTCGATGAAGCAGTTTCATCTGTCCTGTGGTGTTGCTGTGAGCGAGAATGGGATCGGCAGCCGTGGGTTCTTCTTGCTCCAGTTGTTGTGGAGCTCAGTAATTACTAGTTGATTGAATAATTTAACACATTTATTTTCAAGAAACTATTCTCCAGTAAAATACATAAACTAAAACCTGCAGACTCATTGCCATCAAGTCGATTTGACTCATAGGCCAGCTTATATAGGAGTTTTCAAAACTGTAAACATTACAGGAGTAGAAAACCACCCAATGGCTGGTGGTTGCAAACTGTTCATCTTGCAATTAGCAGTTCAAAACATAACAATTAAGCCACTAGGGTCCCTCAGGAGAAGACGTATTAGTCAATGAATATATTCTGTTTTTCAATTTAAACTATATGCAACTTAAGTTATTATGCATGGGGAAAATTAATAAGAGAAATATACACTAACATATAATAGAAATTGGTTAGGGTCCTTTGATGGTCTTTTCCAATTTTCTATTCCAATTCTGGGTTAAAAATTGGGCTGTGAACTATCGGCAGCCACACAGAGGGAGGCAGAGGAAGCTGCTCGTTTCCATACAGACTTCAAAGGAAACCAAGCTCACTGCCATCGAGGTGGTTCTGACTCGAGTGACCCTGCAGGACAAACAGCCGTATCTTTCTCCTACAAAGCAGCTAGCTGCTGGTTTCAAACTGCTGGCCTTGCAGTGAGCAGCCCAATGCTTAGCCACTGCTCTGTCAATGGGCCTTACAGCCTGGGAAATCCTAGGGAGCAGTTCTACTCTGTCCTATAGGATTACTGTGAGTTGGAATCTACTCTATGTCAGTATTTTTCAAATGGTCATAATATTTCTTTAATAGAAGAAATAAATAACACAATATAACTTAACAGTCGACCAAGTTAAATAATTTTATTAGATTTGTGGTGACTCCCTACCATAAGAATGACACCCCACTGCCTCTTCTTTACTACCTCCAACCCACACTCATTCAACTGCTTAATGGTGGAACAGACACAAGGTGGAAAGAGCTTTAGGGAGAGTAGGGAGGAATGATGGAGTAGGAGGAAGGTTTAATCTGATATTAATTTATAATTCATTCATCCACTCATGCAGAAGTGGGATGGTCTGGTTTGTGGTAAATGCCTGGGCCCAGGAAACAGGAATGGTGTGTGTGTGTGTGTGTGTGTGTGTGTGTGTGTGTGTGTGTGT